TCGGGGAAAACTGGATTGCATTGATATCCGACTCATGGCCGGAGAAGGTTTGTACGGATTTGCCGGCGCGGATATCCCAGAGTTTGGCAAAGGAATCGCATGCGCCGGAAACGAAAACATTGTTGTTTGTGGGGTTGATACTGATACTCATAACGTCGCCTAAATGATCTGCGAATTCTGTAACCTTTGACCCTGATTCAATATCCCATAGCATACAAGTCATATCGCCTGAAGAGGTGATGATTCGACGGTCGTTTATGAATCGACAACACGACAGATAGCCTGTATGCCCGGACAGTTCTCGGGCGACACGGGTTGGTCCCTCTCGGGAGGACAAATTGTAGATAGAGCAGATATTGTCCAGACCGCCACAGGCAACATAGTTACCGCTTGGGGCGTACGCGCAAGTCATAACCCATGACGATCGTAGGGGAATAGCGTGGACTTTGTTTGTTGTATAAGCATCCCAGATGATCAGTTTACCGTCCTGAGAGGCAGAGACAAGATGGCGGCGGTCTGTTGACCAGTGCATAGCATAAATTTTGGCCAAGTGTCCCTTTAAGTTCCTTCGCGGCTTCATTCCAATTCGTGGGAGGGGATCAGTGTTGTTCTGTGCAACTTCGCGAACTATGAGAAGGGTATTATGTCAGTTACTAATGAACGGTCCATGGTAACGTAGTAACCTCGGAACGTGCAGAGGAGGCTGGCGGCTGGTAAGGTTCCGTGAACCGACCACGGCTTGTCAAAAGACGAATGCATGGAGCGAGCAAAACAAATTCAAACGCATGGGCAACGGAAGGGTGGGTGGGGGAGGGACTCGATGTAAGTGTGTATGTGATCCTTACGCGAAGTATCCGCAAGCTCATCTTTCCTGCGCTTGATGCGATCCTTCAGACCCTCTGCCTCGCGACGGGCAGAGGTGATCTTAGCCTGCATTTGCTCGCCGCTCAAATCGGCAGCCATGATGAATGAACAAGACCACTAGGAGGAGCGGCTTTGGTCAATTGGATAGAAAGAAGATGGATGGGGAAAGGGAGAGAAGGCGTGAGAGCAGTTGACAGGTTGTAAAATTTGACGACGGGACGATCAGGGGGGACGGGGTGTGATGGGAGCCAGAGAGAGAGCCGGGATTGTAATGCTCTGGGATTGATTACTAGGACAGGACGCAGTTGGTATCGTTAATTTAGCAATTTTAGTGGAGAACTAGGTCTCCAGCACTGGTCTCAGGAGAACAGGTTGTGGATAACCAGGAGGTTTACAGCGTAGCTTTCACCGAAGACAACAAGGGCTGGAAAGGTCCGAGAGAGCGCAGTTGATCTTCCACGACAACCAGCAACAGCCAGAATATGATCGGGAAGAGGGAAGAGGGGAGAGATAAGAGGTAATGGCAGGCAAGCTGGATCATCCGGTGCTGGGGGGAAGAGGCGGAGGAGAAAGCGAGGGTGAAGAAGGCGGGTGGTTGGCTGGCGACGGTAACATTATGTAATGCGCAGAGAAGGACTAGTTAGTTAACTGCCTAGTTAAGTTACGGTGGTGGGAGTCGGAGTTGGTTATGGCAATACAGCGTACAGCGCCTTGATAATTTACAGCCTTCTTTCCACCATACCGGGTCTATTCTTCGCGCCAATTCTTGTGATGTTTCGACTGGCAGTCCCTGTCCTTGATGTCCCGGAATCATAACGTAGTCCGAGAATGAGTATCCATCTTATTTTATTACCCTGCGATGGCGGCTTGGGTTGCTGGGGCTGGACAGACCCGTTGGGGTGATGCTCGGGGTCAGGTCTCTCTGCTGTGGCTGGAAGGTGGGTCGTTTATTCTGCTCTCTGCACGGTCCGGCAGGTCTGAAATATTCGCCTGTAAACTGGATGCAATACGAGCATCTTTCCTCTCCTTCATGAAGCGGTTGACACATTATCATAAGTATTATTTTCGTGCTAGTATCTATATGCGTTCCTCCAAACAACCTTGGGAGATGCATCCTTGGAGATTATTGTCTCCAGATTTCTACGCAGTATTGAGTACGTTACAGCCGCTGAAGATTGTTGAGGGCCGCTGGCTGAAAGCCATTGTTTTATGGTTTTTGTTCTCGAAGTCAACAAAATAGCCCCAGCGATGCCGAGTTTGCTGTAAGTAACCATAAGAAATCTTCAAAACTCTGCACATCTGGTTCGCTTGGCATGGCGCCGTAGCGTCGTGTTAAATTGTTTATGTCAAGGCTCAAGCCTAGTCTTGACCAGCAACCAGGGATAGCGGCTGTCCCAGCAAGGCGAAGACCAATCAAAGTGGATTCACACAACTCCGATTGCTATCCTTCGTTTCGCACTTCGCCAAGGGGTTCTACTCCGTACTCATCAATGAATCAATCCTTCATCATGGTTCAAGGAACAAAACGACAGAATATGCAAACAAGCAGCTTGCATCTCCAAATACCAATGCAAGTTCTGCCCAGCCACTTGTTTCCGGAGCCTGACAAGGTCGTGTAAGGGGCTCTATATAAGGTTGGGTTGAAAAAAACCCGCAATTGGGATATTCTGATTCCCCGAAAGCTCTCAAAAAAAGTTTCCAGAAACACACAAAGATCGCCCCGATATGCCCGTCTGGATGGTGCTGTAGGGCGACTCACCAGTGCCCAGCAAGTAGGGTCCAAATCGAAGCTCGAATCGTCTCATGGCTGCCAGGGTCTATTTTCAAGTTGATCAATTTCATACTTGCAAGGCGGGCTAATTCCGGAGTTCAGTTAACTGCCATCAGTGCCATGCTTCCGTCGGCTGGTTAGTCTGCTTCTGGAAGCATGTTTGGATGTTCTCAAAGTAACTACAGAAAAAGAAGAAAGCATGAAACCTACTAACACATCCAGCTGCGGCATGGTTGTTGGAGTGGCTGGGTTCAATGGCGCTGATGAAAAGGCTACGCACAGACACCATCTACGGCTGAGTGGATTCGTTGGTGCTGTTGTTCCATGGTGATCATGTTTCCATCGAATGAAACTGCATCGATACTATAAGCGTTTGCTACAAGCATACAGATATGACCTGTGAAACGGATGATGTTCATTGATCTCCCAGAAAAACTTAGTAGCGGAGGTTCCGCCTTGAAAAAGTAACACTGAGGAATAGCTATTTTCTCCGCGGTCACGTAGACATTCAAGTTTTCAGGATAACCGAGCATCATGAACACTGAAATATGGTTGATTTGAAGAGAACAGTAAAGCAGGAAAAAAAAAAAAAAAAAAAAAGCACAAAGACTTGGCAGTTCTCACAATTACTATGTACAGAATACAGTACATACAAACGCAAAGAAACCGCTTAGAACGGAGGCGGAACCTGGAGTTTTCTCAACTGCCAACCAGCGTTTCTGTTCGTTTCGTTTTGAAAGATTTCGTTTGGAATCTGAGAGGCCCACATCGACGCCGAACTCCATAAAATAATATACAGCCCCTCCAAAAGACCGCGAGGAGGAGGATAAGGGTGTCCTACCAGGAAAATGATAAATGCTTTATTCTACTCATACGCCAGAACTCTGTTGCTTGTTATCTAGATAACAACGATATACCAACATACGGTGCAATTTCAATATAAACTCGCAATAGGAGGTGTCTTAAAAATTATAGTTACGATACAAAGGACACTGAGGGTGTTACGAGTAATTTACACCCAATCCGTGGAGATTCGCCAGAATGGGGAAGGGAATCGATCGCTGGGCAGGAGCAAACCATTCCGTAGTACGGAGTCTGATTATCATCATTCATCTTTATTTTTACTTCTCATATTTTATTTTATTTTTATTTTTATTTTTTTCGCCGGTAGTGCAGTTTGCTTCCAACATCGTATGGTTGGGACACGAAACTTCCAGAAACGCCGCCGCCCCCAAACTCCGCTGCAACCGCGCCTCCTAATTAGTTTATGCACAGTGGCACCAATGACCATGACTCTGGCATTCATGGGCATAAAAGAGAAAACAGCATCTGATAATTCTTATCTTGGCTGCATTGGCGAGATATACATCCATGCCTTGGTGCATCTCCAACGCTTCTGATTTCTTCGACAGGCAGATGCTAGATGCGGCCATTGTATAGTCTAAATATCCTAGCCCAAAGGATCTGAAAATCGCATGGGAACGCAGTACCGAAGGGAATCCGTCTGTCATTGCTGGTTGAGAGCAAGCACCCACAAGCGAATTTGCTTCTCCTGGGTTTAAACGGATTCGTTGTAGATAGCGTTCCGAAGCAGCGTGTCAAACCCTATTGACGATACCGATTTAAGATTCATTATGTATTTGAAACTGTCCAACCCCTCAGTCAATGGGCAAGAAGAGGGGGGAGAATTGAAATGAAACAGATCTTAGATCCTGAAAACGAGAAGAGAAAGACATATTTATTATTAATTAACGGCGAGAAGTTACCGTCTCCTCAACTGTTTTTCGTCAAGGAACTTACGAGATCCGAATTCCATAGCCTTCGTCTGCTTCGATCAAAAGAAAAGCATAGGGACCAGTAAACCTTAGCCAAATTGTCGCTGAACCGTCCTCAGTAATGGTCCGGGAAATACAAGACCTATGCTGCTGATTTTTCCCTTCTTCAACTAACCAAAGTTGTCCTTGCAGGGGGCTTATTTCATATTGAGACGCATGGTGAAATTTCGAAGGGTTTCCCAGAATAGTTATAAACGAGAAAGCTCTCAGCAATGTTTTTGAGTTCTCACTGCTCTGCTCAAATCCATCGAAGCGTTATACCCGAGCTTGGCCCTTCAAGAAATGCAAGTTTCCTCCCGTCCACTCCGTGGCGCCTTCAAAAAGCCAAGTTGGTTTCCAGGAAGGCACTGGAGGACGGGATATTTCGGGAGATATCTGCCGTCAAGGGGAGCATTGTTGATGGTTTTGTTGACACAACTTGACAATGGATCTTCTGATGTACAGGGAAAATACTCTCCCAGAATGTAAAATCAGGAATTTTAACTATATTGTAAGAGATGGATGGCTTATAACGTCATCGCAACTCCCCGTGTAGCCATTAATTAGCTAGCCGTGCTGGAAGACCGGTAGCCTGGTCAGACGCTAGGTAAACAATAGCAGCAGTGCGAATGACATCAAGTTTCCATCAACGCAATCGCAAATAGAAAATCTATGTACGGAGTAATGTTCCCTCAGAAAATCGCGCGTCAGCACTTGGAGGGGCCATTCCACGTGATTGTACATGGGGTCTTTTTGAGGCGATAGGGCTACACACTAAGTAATCAATAGATATTCAATCTACTCATTCCACTCAGCATCTGAATTAAGATTAGATGTGATGACAATTTGGTTAGATTAGGATTAGATGTCTGAGATTTACAATAAGATCACTGCATCCAAATCATTCAAAGACTGTAGGGGAAATGTGCGAGGTGTGGTTAGTGTATGTAGTTTTAATGGAGGGGTTGATGGTTTATGGTCAAAACCACGCCGAATGTTATTCCGGCCCGAAAAATTAGCCATGTTCAACTTTTTATTAACTGTATGCCCGTTTTTGCAAAATTCAACATTCAGTCTATATAGTAGCATCAGGAGCGTCGCCGCTCTATTTCTATTTAAAATTAATTAAATCAGTTAGTTAAACAAAATTTGATCAATCTCCCTAAGTTCTTGAATTTTCTTTTTAGTGAGGAAAAAAAAAGAAGCGAAATGAGAGGGGTGATAGTGATGATCAACGTCGGGGTTAGGTGGCGTACATTAATCCTAAATCTCAAAATACGATTTCAATACCCCGTTTTGTTCGCGCTTATGACCTTCCGTCGCGATCAAATAGAATTAATCTCCACCCGGCTCCTTGCTGGCAGCTCTCTCCGTTCCCACATTCGCGTTCTGCATCCGAGCCAAACTGGATCCTAGTTAACCTCGCACCAACTCAACCGTCTTTTATACCATCAAAATGGCGGGACTTTCACAAGAAGATCGCAACATTATCAAGAACCATCCTCTAACCAAAT